AAATTGATTCAGATGTAAATAAGTTAAACAAAGACACTCAGAATGCACCACATGGAATATGACAGTCAATAACAAAGAAGAAGATAATAATAAGACAAATAAATAACCAAGACCAGGATCTTGAGGATTTGGATCAAGTTCATGAGAAATACTGTGTGCCAGAAGAAGAAGAAGACTGCTACTGCTATTCCAGATACATATTTAATTAACATTTAGGTAAATGTTACTATTGAATCAAAGTCAATATTCATCACATATGCACTATTAAAGGACTTGGACTCAGGCTGAAAAGCTTGATTAGGACACAGGCTGTCAGATGACAGCACAGATCATAATTAAATCAACAGTTTAGCTATACAGTACTGGATAAACAACTTTTTTGAAGGAGAAATCAAGATGTCAGCACAATTACTCGCTTACTCGTTAATTAAGTGAATGCTGAAGTGTAATGTAGAAGATGACAAGTCTCATACATATAAGACGGGTTGTACAAGGTAAGGGTTGCATGTGTGTTTAATTGTAGGGAATGAGTCAGTCAATGATGGTTAATGTTGTTGGCTGTCGTACTTGGTAGTCAGGTAAAGAACTAAACCTGAGGGGGGGTTTACTCTCCCAGCTCTTCACTGGATGTCTAGTGGATTAAGGATCCATTGCAGCATTCTGCTAGTTACCTACAAAGCTTACAGTACATTAAACAACCTTTTTCTTGATCGCTTGGTCTAGAGAGGTGGGGTGCTGCTGGTATTTCATCAGTCCACATCTTATTGTCTGTGGTTCTAGGGTAACTCCATAGTTAACAGGCAGAGTACCACACTGATCTCTACACAACACTGAGTACAACTTTAGTGTTCATCCAATTAATTACAAAGCCTTAAGCTTTAAAACTGCACCTGAGACTCTTCCTTCATTTGTTGCCCCATTTTGATGCCACTGACATGCTAAAAATCTACACAGTGTTTATTCCTCATCATGATTGTTAGTCAGCTGGAACTGCACAGGCACTTTCCAAATGTACACACACTCAGGCTTGCAAAGGAGAGCAGTGGTAACAGCAGCAAACTAGTGAGACCGTGAAGAAATGAGATGCGACTGAAACACCACTGACCTTTAGTGTTCGTTGGTTATTACATGCTGTGTGATTTGGCTGCACCTTGAATTGCAGGACTGCGTTATTGAATACAGTGGTCGCTGGCTCTGAGCATGTTGAGGCCAAATAAATAATAATTAGACAAATCATGTCCAACATGCTGGTTGGCAAACAAAGGTTGCTATTAATCATTTATCAGCACTGTAGTCTCATTTTTCTTACCTTCCAATGGGTAAGAAAAGACAGTCCCAGAGATAAAATCCCAATTGTGTCCTAATGTCAATGCTACCCGACTGTAAATATGAAGACATAAACAGCTGTAATGTAACTCTCATTAATGAGGGAGTTAGCCGGCTCGGGAAAAGTTTTTGAACACGTCGTCACTGATCAATAATCTGATAATCCAACAGCAGTGCCCATTTGTTTGACTTCAATTATTCGGCTTATCATGTTGTCATTAAAAAACATTTGAACTATGGACAGATTCAGGAGGAGAGGGTGAGATAGAGGCTGCCTCCTTGTGTGAAATTTGAGCCTTTTCTTCACAATGAATTTGCTGTGTCTCTTTGAAAATGGCGTTTTTGTGGCCGACCACAGGTGCGTGGTAGGTAGCAGTAAAATATCAGTTAATGCCGGCTCTGGCAGCAGGTGTCAGTGATGAAAAAGTCTGTCTGCCCTTGACTGATAACATCTTTGTCACACGTAATATATGCATAGAGGCGCAAAACAAAACAATGGAGTTCAGTTTTATTTGAATTATTTCTTAAGTTTTATGATTGATTGCAGCTTTGAAAATGTTATGAGCGAATTGAGACCCCCTAACAAAAACCGAGAGCCGAGGTCTCTTTTAGAAGAGCAAAGCCACTATAATTGGTTCGAGTGTAATTCCGACACTGCTTTATGTGATCTGTAAATAACCGAGCACTGAGGCATGATGGTAGTGGAATAGATCAAACCACAAATAGCAGTCTACATTCCACACTGACAGGTGTGCTGCAAAATGAATCCCATACCAACCTGTTATAAAGAAATGACACTGAACTGAGCAGTGATTCATTGATCTAGTACCATTATCAGCATCAGTGATGCTTCATTAATGAGTTTCCTTTTTTATATAGCTTAAGTCACTGATGTTTTCAGTGCAATCTCTGAAGCAGAGCCTCTGTAGTATTCACCCACTGATGTCTACAACATATCTCTGGTCAAATGCAGACATAACAGTCCTCCTGTCTGCAATAAAATGCTTAATCTCTGAAAAATATCTGGGGGAAAAGTGTACATTTCAATCTGACTTGTGTGGTTGAGCTTGTAAGAGTGAAGGTGATTGATACTTAAGGTTCTGTTACCTTATACTTCCTTCATACTTTATAACCTCCATATAATTTTGCTATGAATCACTGGTCAAGAGATGTGTGATCAGTCAAAGGCCCTCCACTCTCAGTTTCACTCCTCCACTGAGAGTGAGTCATCTGTCCTGGTTTCATGTGTTCTCAGGCTGAATGTTACAGACCTGGACCTCTCTTGCTTTCCAGATCTTTACATGGCCCATTGTTTGACATGCACAACAATAGTGATTCTAATCATTCCACTTAAATATCTTAGAAGCATTATTCATCACACATTATTCTAGTCTGTGTTTCCTAAGTATTTGTGTGTTCCAAGTTAAAATCCTTGCTTACTTATGTGTGAAAAAAACATCTTGGTGAGATGGGATTTTCAAAGGCTCCATACATCTGCTTCAGTTTGTTTCAAGTCCGGCTGGTGCAAATTGTCAGTGCCAGAGAGGAGTTGGAGCAGAAGCTGAATATTGATTAGACCAATATGAAATATTCACATCCTTAAAGCAGTTGACACCACACACCCCACAAGATTAAGTGAACAAGTTGAATCCACTGAATCCATTGAACAACTTAAGTTAACTGCTTGAGTGCTCTTACAGGCTTGCAGAACATTGACTCCTGTAGTGAGTAATGACAAGAACCATAAAGTCTTACTGAGGACCTCTAGAGTAGCACAAACAATGGGGAAAACCTTTTTTTAAAAGAAAAAAATTCAAGAAACATTCAAAGATGCCTGTTCTGGTATACAAGAGGAATCCGTTTTGTACTGTTCAACAATATAAAAGTGCCTCACCTATTTTTAGCTTGGATATAGATTGTTCAGTTTAGGAAATATTAAAGGAAATTAGATGGAAAAAAAAATGCTAGTGTTGTTTTGTTTGTTTTTAGCATAAGTTGAGATGAACATTAGCTAAAGCTCGACCAAAGTCAGGTCTTGATTCCTATAGTTTCTTATAGCCTTCTTAACATAAATGTGGGCTTACTGTCCCACATGATTATTACAAATAATAGTATCAATTCCCATACTGAGACTAAAACCAATAGTGAATTTCCTCTACTCGTAGTTAATGTCGCTCAGTCTCCAACCTGGATTATTTTATTCATCCAGGCCATAGACCTCTGTTGTTGTTCAAAAACAATTAAAAACATCAGTGAAACACACTGCTGCACAGGGTGACACATTTACAAATGCCAAACCAACATATTTGTTAAAAATGTTTCCCCAAAAGCGCCAAACAACCGTAGGTTTTTACAGCATAAGTAAGAGTCAGTTGCACATGTTTGTTTACAGTCTGCTAGCTACTCCTTTCACAGAGATTTTACACATCACATTTAGCTGCAAGTCTATAGCATCATTTGTTGTCTCATAGATTTGAATTTTCTCTGAGCCCAGTAAATTTGAACATTCTGGATCAGCAGATCTGTAATATTAGTTGGATCCAGCCCAGGCTTTGGTGTGTGATAGATCTGATGTGGATGTTATCATGTAATTTTTGTCCAAGCATTCTGGGCATTGTGTATGGAGTTAGAAGCAAAAATATTGAAACTTGCCCTATTCTCACAATGGTGAAAAATCCTTTTAAAAAAATTCCTGGATCCAGATGATGATCCAGATCAGCACCAAAATCTAATGGATAGTTGCACGGGCCATACCCTACCTCTCCAAAAAAATCATCGAAAACTATTCATTACTTTTTAGTTGTGCTGTGAGCAAATCAAACAACAAAGAAACCACCAAATCAGTAAAAACATAACCTCCGTAATGGAGGTTATGTTTCATTTAACCTATTGTATTTACCCAAGACTGTTTTGGGTCTTGAGTCATTTCCAAATGCATAATGTCATGGTCATGTTTTTGAACACAAGAGGCGACTTCTTATAGTATAACTTGCAACATAAAGTACCAAACAAGGTAACTAATTAACAAATTAACAAATTAATGAATTAACTGTAAGCTAGCCTAGGCACAAAACATCAGGCTGCTCTGTAGCTGTCATTTCAGTCAGTAATGAGGGCAGTAATATTGCTCAGACCAGAGAAGCCCAACGGTGATACTAGTCATGAGGCATCAGCGTCAGGATTTTTACTCTGTCACCTCCTTCCACTGACCAAAACCAGCTGCCACTGTAAAACTATATTCCTGCCAAATACTGCTCCAGCTTGAGTGAGCTTGGCTGGACATAATAATAGGGATGCCTCGCCCAGCTTGCCAAGTGGTAATTGTTGTGCTATTAATGGACAGTGAATTGTTCTAAATTACTGTCTGGATGTCCACAACAGCAGGACAAATTGTACTTTTTATTTTTCTCTTGCTTTTTTCCCTTCAAAATCACACTTGTGGTCGGTTTTGCATGTCTCAGTACCATGAGGTTTGCCTGACTTTGGGGATTTGTGAAAATGAAACACATGCTGCATCTCTCTAACCCCTTTGTAAATTATAGGGGATATTATAGCCAAAGCCAAATGGCTCCAATCTTTGTTACATGTAAGTGAACAAATTGGAGCTGTCCTGAAAAAGAGGATGTGAGAAAAATAACCCAGAAATACAATTTTCTGCTTCTATGTCCCTGAAGAATGAATCAGGCTCCCACCAGAGGCTTTGAGGAGGATGTGGGCTGGAGGACAACTCATCATGTAATGTATCCAGAAAGCGCCACAGACCTGGACAACACCACCACTCTGGTGCTGGTCCCGTTCAAGACTCTGGATCTGCAGTGGCTTGTTAGTGCCCTGAGCACGGGCACTATTACAGAGTATGTGTGCTTATCAAATGTTAAAGCTGCTATAAACAATACATTTAAATAAAAATAGATCACATGACTACATTTAATATAAAAGCTGATGCTTATAGAGATGAAGACTGAGAATAATCACCCACTTGTGGAGATCCCTTTAGACAAGCAGGGATTTTTACCATTTTTTTGAGGTCACTGTTGTGGTGGTTCAGACCACAACATTACCCTTTTGGTTCATTTTCACTGCTCTCATTAACTAGATTTCCAACAGTTTTCAGCAAAAAACTGATGATAAATCTTCCAGCACGAAACAGCAGACAGACAAAGTTAGTAAGTTGCTAAACATAGTGCAGCCTATCAACATAATAAGATGAAAATATGCTACTCAAGGAACCAGAAATTAAGTTAATGCTGGTTTAAATTGGAGCCTGTGCTTTTTAAAAATATTTTAATGTCATTACATTGGCAATGTGGACAAATTCAATGATGACACTTTATGAAAACACAAATATTGCAGTATGAATAAAAAAAATGCTAGAAATAAATTGTAAAAATATGAAATAGATGGCAAGGGTTTGATTCCAGATTTAAATTTTCCTTTTTTTTTTACTTCGAGTCATGGACACATAGGTATGATTTTGTAGCTATAATTTCTTTTAACATTTTTAGGTAGAGATTTAAAACATTAAATAAATATATACTGTATAGATGGATGAATTACTGAATGGGCTGGTCGGGCAAAGGCCCAGGGACCCAAGGGGTCAGGGGCCCCTTACACAAAACATCTGCCAAGAGACACTAAGCAACTGCAATGTAAAATTAATGCCTATATTAGCTTTCTTACACAAAACTGTACTGTATTCTCATTTAGAAATGTGAGGAGCAAAGATGCTTCATTTACCACTCTATATGACAGAGAGTTTAAAAAAAACCTTTACTGTCCTAAAAATTTTAAAGTTGCATGTCTTTTTTATTTGCACTATTCAAATACCAGATTGTCATAACAGTCATGTTCGCTCAGTATTCCAGTTTGTCACATTGTCATGACAAGGATAATTCCTCAGTTTTAATCATCCAGGAAATTTCACCTTCAGCTGCTTCATTCTCAGTGACCTGTAATCATTAGCTTGATTACTGGACACCCATAAAAATAACCGAAACCACTGGCACTTGATGCCGTTTAATTCAAACACACCGACATGTTAGATGGTAGAAGGACGAATACTTTGTGAGAGGACAAAAGTGGTATATAATAGTAATAGTCCTGAAATTTAAGCACTTCTATGAAAAAATATCAAGCCTGTGTGTTAAAAGATGTATTGGTTAATATCGGATGCATACTGTACTTTAACACACAGCATTTTCATATTTGTTGTACAAAACATGCCGAGGAACTGGCTTGACTGTACAGTCTGTGTAATATGCGACTCTTCATGAGACACTTTGCTACACAGGCTACTCTTGATAAATGTTACTTTAATTGCAAACATTTGTTTGCATTGTATCTTGCAAGTGTTATTTTCCATCTCAGTCATTAGTAAGCTATTCCTTTAGATTTTCAGTTAAGTCTGCACAGATGCAGTATACATCACATTTGCATGAACTTTACATTTATGTTTTGTCACCTTAATTTGGTTTGTTTTGTAACTCCTTTGTTTGTGAAAATGTTATACACTCAACACGTTTTGCATATAATGCTGACTTTACAGTATACCTGGCTCTTGCTGCTGAGTCTTTCGAAGACACTTTTCATATGCAAACTGAATGGACACATCACGGGAGCTGCACACACCTGAATTCAATCTGCCTCTCCTGTTTTTATATTTTAGCTTTGCACTGTCTCCGCCAACACAAAATGATTAGCGACTCTGCACCACATGTGCTCGTGATGAATATTGCAAAATGCAAAACAATTACCACGAATATATGAGAAAAAGGAGCATACAGTATGTCACTGACTCTGGAATCTGCCCATGATATTTAATGTTCCTGACATGTCGTCTGTACTGCGCTTGTGGATGTGAGATCAGTGATTGTAGGAAAACAAGCAAAACATTTCAGGCTAGGTGGCTGTGTTTAGAAAAGTTAAAGCCCAGAGTTTAAGTCCCTGTTATTTTTTGTGCTGCAGGACATATATGCCTGTCAAGTCCAGAATAAAAGCTAATAAAGATAAGGTGAGTTATGTTCTTTTCTTTTTTTTTTTTTTAACTTGTCTTTCTATTCAACATGTCATTACGTGATTACTGAGCATCTCATTCCAAAGCAATGAACTGTAGGCTATGTCAATCATGTGGCAGTTTTATTGTAGTGTCACATGCCAAATTTTGTTTATCCAGTGACATGCATATTTGGCTCAAATATCCACTGAACTGATTTTGACAAGTGGTATGTGTCTGCAGTTCAAGTGGCATATGGCTCATGAAACCATCACTGTCACTGGTTTTCAGATGTGCACCAGCACTCACTGCAAATTTATTTTTACTAGCATACACCACTCACGATTACAGAATGTTGCTGCTGTCTACATAAAACTGGAATAATTACAGGTGCCTTGTTTCACTTGCATACTGTTTAAGGTGGAAATGGTAACTTGTGCAATATATTGGAAGATATACAGTATCTAACTGTTCTTTGTAGGCAGCTGTTACTGAGGGATTACACTTTATGCTTTGCTGGTAGCTAATAGGAATGTAATCATTTATGAATACATTATTCAGAAATGCATCTGAACAGACCATTTACATTTTTGCAGTAATGTTCACTCCCCATATTCACCCTCCTCCCACGACCTGTCTCACAACTGACACAGTTTGCTCATGTCTTTACACTGGTTCCAGGATCTCTACTGTCTATCAAGGACTGACGTCCATAAATCCATTTAAACGTCATATAGAAATGTACAGTGTGAACTTGAGGTGTTAGCAACCAAAGCAGCATGTGGACAATGCAAATGTAAACAAACTGGCTATACCACCCCTTGGTGTCCTTAGCCTTGGGTTAAATACTCATCATTCAATAACTTTTCATTACATTTCACTACATTAGTTGTGCAGTAAAGAATAACATTTGAGTGATGTTCCACAGGCATAATTTTTTTTACCTCGTGTTCAGATATTAAACCGTGACTGAAGAGCTGAAGTTAGGGACATCTTAAAGAGAGTATAAAAATCGGCCAAACCATGAGATTTTCAAATCAAAATCAGTATAATCATTTTTTATTATGTGATCTAGGTACATGGTTAAAGATAATATTTTGTTGGCACATGTATGATGATAAATGACAGTAGAAAACAATGCAGGAAATGAAGCAGACAAGACCATTTCTACCAACATCTGGTATAATCCAAACACATATTGTGTTTATGTGTCATAATATAGAATCATTTATGTAACTGTAAATTTAAAAATACAATTTTTATATTTATTTTGCAGGTGTTGATTTATAATCCAACATTTATGAAATATATCTTCGACTCTTGGCTTGAAGGTCATGGACGATATCCTTCCACTGGTTTCCTCAGCATAATGTTTGCTATCCACATATGTGATGAGGTAAAGTGAGCTACTCTGTTAAGTGTCATTAACAAACAAAAGCTACTCAAATTCCTCACTAGAGTACAATAACTATACAAGGGCAACTTGATCAACATTTTGTTACATTGCATTTTCTGAATAATACTGAAAAGTATTTTGAAAAATAAGGAATCAGAAATATGTGGAGTTGAACTGATGTGAAAACTGAACAAAATCTACTACTGTATAAGTATATAAAGCTGTATGGGTGAAGTTTTACTGAGCTTGTGACCCAGTGCTTTTGTTCCTTGTTCTGCTCCAGGTTAGTGTGTTTGGATTCGGTGCAGACCAGTACGGAAACTGGCACCACTACTGGGAGGAGAACGATTTGGCTGGAGCTCATAAAGACACACAAGTCCATGATGGAGATTATGAATATAATGTCACCTGTCTCCTGGCAGACAAGCACAAAATCCATATGTTTAAAAGCAGATGATACCAAGCCCATATGCGTGGTACAATGACCACCAAATGAACTTCAGTAGCCTGTCCTGCATCTCATGTGAAAACACTGTTGTTATGATTTCCAGTGACATTTTCACATGATGTCTTCTGGTCTTCCAGTTTTCTTTTCCTCACTTAATCTTTTGTTTTTGAAATGTTAGTCATACTGACAAACCAACAGTTTGTCTGGGCTCCCAGACACTGACTAGACCAGACTGGACCATCAACATAAGATAAAAGCAAGCACTGCCATGTGTTCTATAATCTCTAAACCCAACTCAAATATGTGTGGGAGTGAATGGACAAGCATGCTATACATCCAAAGCTTTAGTACTATTATATAGTAGGTGTGTACGCTTTACGCTCTTTTCTATACATTGGCTAGCATTGTGGTTACCTAAAGCTTTGTATATTAAAAGTCCCAGATACTGGCATAAAATAAGCTCTGCTGACAGCAGTACTCAAAGTGCCATATAGCTATTTACATTGTTGATATAAAGGCATACAGTAGAGAGGGGCATTTTAGATAAAATTCATCACAGTCCCAGTCTTTTATAGACCACAACAAATGAAAGGAAAAGCCAACATAAAGTGTCTCAGTAAGGAACTCTACTGGAGGTGTGAACACCATTCTTCCAAAAGATGTTTCCTCATCTGGTGTTTTGATGATGGGGGTGGAGACACTGTCTAACACACCAGTCTAATATCTCCCATAGGTGTTCAACTGGGATGAGATCTGGTGACTGTGAAGGCCGTAGCATATGATTCATATCATTTTCATACTCATCAAACCAGTGGTCCCTCTTGACCTGTAGATGAAAACACTGTCACCCTGGAAGCGACCACTCCCATCTGGATACAAATAGGATAAAGGTGATCGCTCCAAACAACACGGTATTGCAGTGACCCTTACCACTAAGGGGCCAAATGGAGTCAAATCATGCCAGCATCTACGTCTTATATGTTTCTTCACTCATTTATTCAGGGTTTTCTTTTAATTTGTTGCCCATCTGTGAGTTGTGTGTGTATATGTAAACTTTGTGATATGCAGCAACAATGAGAAGGTGCCCTTTGTTACACTGCCGAATGAGAGACTGTTGTGTAATCGCCATGTTGTTTAGTATCAACAGTCTCTGAAAGCTGCAGTGTAGCTGAAATGAAGTGAACCTAACTTGAACTTATATTTTTGAGGAGGTACAAGCAGTGATATTAGTTACAGTAGTGATTAGGCTGCAAAGGTCTTAGCATATTATTCACAATTTCATACTTATTTAACCCTTCAGTGACCCTTCATGCACTACAGATGGGGCATTGCTGACCTGGAAGACCACTCATTTATTGATGTTTGTCCTTTAATTTATCACCCATCTGTGTATAAGAACAGCCTCTTGCTGTTTGCTAATCTTAAAGGTGTATATTTGGAAGCTTGTTAAGTCTGAATTGACTGATAAACTTAAAAGCATTTTGATGAGAACACCACTGACTATACTGTGCATCATTTAAGCATACATTTCCGCATGTTTTGCAGTATAGTAGTTGCAGACATGAGGATCTTTTTTTTTTTTTTTTACATCAAACTGACTAATTCTGACCAAATGCTCATAAACCACTTGCACTTAAGAGCAACTTGCAACCCTCTTGTGTGATTGCAGCTGTAAAATATACCTCGGCAAGGCCAAGAAATGCTTAAAATCAAGCCCAAAATCATCCTCAAAGAATGCACTTCACTGTAATATGACATCTGTAGATTAATCACAGGGCTATAGCCAAGGTTTTTAAAAATATTGAGGTCCTAAGTCCAAAGCACCCCAACATACTCCCTTAATTACTCCCATTTAGAAAATTTTGACCACATGCTAAAAAGGTCTCAAAAATTAGTCAAATGTCTCATATTTTATTTAATCATCCATTTGTTCATTTTTCCCATGTAAATTACACGTTAAATCATGAGAATAGCAGAATTGAATGGTAGAATACAGAATCATTTATTTATTAATATTTTTCTAAAAGTCATCAAATTTAACTATATTTTGTCCCAGACCTTGGTCAATGACCAACTACCTGAAAATCTAATTAGTCATTCCTGTGTTTTGTGTTTATCATTAATTAATGAATATTAGCATGGTAACATGCTAATATTCATTAATTAGCATGGTAACATGCTAAATGAATACTGAAACATGGTAAACATTATACCAGCTAATTTCACCATATCATGCTGTCATCATGCTGACATTAGCATGTAGCTCAAAACGCTGCCATACTCAAGTACAGTCTCACATTTAGTAGACACTTTGCCTTGTTTTCAACTGTAGTATTTTCTGTACATTGTACTGAAATCAGCTAATTTCCAGAAAATGTCCTTAGGACATGACTTCTGTGCCCTCAAAAGTTGATAGCGCCCAGCATTTATTACCTGACCTGGTAGCTGGTAGGTAGGTAGGACTTTATTGATCCCACAATGGGGAAATTTCTGTGTTCCAGCAGCAATAGAGAAGAGCAACAAAACACCATAAGAACAGACACCACACACATATCCTGAGAAACAGATTCCAAAGTACCGGGAACAAGAATGATCCTCCCATAATTAATCCCTGAGAACTATTACTCCCATAATTGATCCCGCAATGGGGTATATACCAGTATTTCAGCCATGAGGATCTCTGAAAAAAACTACTCAAAAATACTTACACAAGACAGCATAAAGTATTCAAGAGAAATCAAGAACAGATTTTACACATGTGCATATTTACAGCTGCCAGTATTACCTTACAACAGACACTATAACCTGTATGTGTAGCTCAGTATAAAGAGGTACAATAGGTGCTAAAGCTTGGTCAGAGTTCAAAAAAACTTGTTCAAAAAATCTATTATTGCCAAAACTTTTTATTGACATCCTGTTACATATATGGCTTTAACTGTTTTGGCATAATTCTTTTTTTTTTTTTTTTTTGAATGTCCATTGGCCTAAGGATTCTACTGTAGATCTGTATGAGGTATGGATTAAGAGTAGGACTGTAATGAAGTAATCAATGAGATTTTCATCACTCCTACTGAATAAATGATATGACACTTTGCTTGAGGTGTAACACAAACACCAGATTTTTTTATTAAGCTGATCATAGTCAACTGACATATAATACTGCCTATAGAGAGGTGCCTTATCATTCAAATACATGCTGAATGATGCACTGTATGTTTTGTATGTACATTGTGACATATATTTGAATGAAAAACACTAAGTATAAACTACTCTTACTGTAGGTGCCTTTAATAGGTTTTTTAAAAGTTAATTTAACCATCAAATGGTACTGTATTTTAATTATTATTACTGCAGTTGTTAGTAACATTTACAAGTTCATGTTACTGTTGACCGTCTCATTCAACCTGAGTACACTCATTATATATAGATGATAAAAATCAACAGTTAACATGGAATTGATCAGTCACATACAGTGTGAGTTTGTAATATTATGTTATAGGTCACAGTGCACAGACGTCCATTACATGTGCAGCCATTATATGTATAATTCAGTCAGTATGTACATAATAAAATCTATTTACATGACTTAATGTTCAGTGCTGTTTACTGATCAGCCATATAGGTACATTGTGATAGCACTCATACTTGGAGCTACATTTAAATCATCCAGTCCATGCCACTCCCATTGCTGGCTACTCACAGTTTAAATCGGTGGTTGGATACTTTACAGTTCAAAATGTTTGTCAAATGAAATGATGATTTTTTTTTTAATGTGTGTAATAAAAAGCTTGTAAGTGTTCAACAGCCTCATTCACTTGTGCCTATAACTCAGCCATTTCAGCTGCTTTTTATACTGCTGGGTAATTTAAGCAATAACAATTCATCATGTTGCTTAAAGCTTATACAGTATCTTTCCTATTTAAAACATAAAATTCAAAGCAGTATAAAATATACCAAAGTAAAAATACCTCAAGTTTTTTGCAAAAAAAAAAAAAAAAAAAGATATATACCTCTAGCCTATTTTTTATGTTGTAAGCATAATTTTGAATGCAGGACCTTTACTTGCAACAGAGTGGTTTTGCTATTTGTGCAAAAGATCTGAGTAGGCCTACTTCTATTCATTATAATTTACTTTTTATTCTTTTTAATTAACCATTATTGTACCACGAAGTATAGCCTTTAGCCATGTTTAACATGCAGCGGAAGGGCCCCCAGCTCTGAAAACACAAGGGAAGAGACCATAAACTATATTAACTTCTAATGTATCACGCATGTATTAATGCACAACTTTACTCCTTTTGATAAGAAGGTTACTAAATCTTTTGTGTAAATATCTGTTGTAAGCAAAATAAAAATCTTACAAAGCCACGCAGAGTACTGGGCATATAACATTATTTAATTATAAAGCTGTCTGTAACTACATATCACTGAAACATTTTATTATTAGCTAAGGTAAGAAAAAACAAGAATAGGATCCAACGAAATGCTAAGATTGTACCAATAAAGGTGTTGATTTTAGTGAGGTACATTTAGTAGGAAGGAGTTAAAATAATAAAGAGTATGATTAGTGTGAATTTATGCAGCCTATACTTTTTGAAGGCTTTGTTTAGACAGACATAATTCACTAACACGAAGCCCGATCATTAACAGCACTAGAGGGTTATGTTTTCTGTCTTACTTCGGTGTAGATACCCACGTTATTAACGTTGTACTACAATCTGTTTCAAATGGCTTTATAGGGCTAACAAAAATATTACCTTCTACAGACTAAAATGGCGTGGACTAGTAAGGCGGTGTTTTATATCTCACGCTCAACGAGAAAAAAAATTGAGCCAGGTTTTCACCTGACCAAAACGTAACATTAGCAACAGTTTAAGTCTTGAGTATTTCCAAATCGTGTTAAATCAATGGACTAAACGTCCAGCACTAGAAGCAGCATGTTTCACAGAAATGGTTCGGTAGCGGAAGTGACGCACATCGAAGCTCCCTTCCCATTGGCTCGCAGCGCTGAGGGTTCCGGGAGTGAAGTTCATGAGTCTAGACCATAGCACCACCTGCAGTTCAACAAACAGCGCGACAAGGAAGTAACCATTACAGCTCGTTGAGACGATGTTTTTGTGACCAAATGTTTTCCTTGTAGCACAAGTAAGTTCTTCTTTTTTCTTTTGCCACAATATAAATTGTTAATGTAAACTACATTTTTAGTGTGCAAGCGTGGTAACTGTGACTTAGGTAATGGTTTCACTTTCTACTTGGAAAAAAATGAGACGGACGACATGAACTTAAAATGAAACTGCGTAGCTAAAAAGAGACCGTGTTTGTAAACATGTTAGGAACACGCTTCTTGTAGCATTTTAAAAAGCACCAGAATGACGTTTTTGCTACTAAAATAACGTTGCTGATTGTGCTATAAAGGCCGAGCTTCCTGTTAGGTAGCTATGAACAGTTCAGTGTTGTGCAGGCCATAATCACTATAATGGCAGGCTAAATTCCTAATTCCTAACGCTTGTACGTGAATTAGCCTTTAAATTAACATCTTAAACATATTTCAAACTGAAATTCTCTTGTCTTGCTTAAAGTCTACTTGGGCATAGTTACTATAATATCCAACTTTAGTAAAAGTAAATATGCTGTAACGATAGAACAAATAGGTATGTATAAAACCAGTGAGTGTTTACGTGCACACAAGTAGCCTAGTCATGACCAGTTGTTTGAAGTGTGCTGGCTATGATTCGTGCATGAAAACACCATCCTTGGTTTGAGAAATCCGGATATGCAACCAACAGAGTACCGCAGAAGAAACCAGGATACAGTAGCACAAAAACGCTTTATCCAGGTTTCTGACAGTTATTTGCCAAACCGGTGTCTTCAACCTGAGGAGATTACTAGTTATTCTAACAGTTGTCAGTAAAACAAGAAATGTGATGGTGAATTATCTAGTTGTGTCATTAAGTAACAGCGATCAAGCAGAGAAGCTACATTCAAACAGCCAGAAACATGAAAATCTTATTTGTTATCTGTTAAATTACTAAGTTGGAGGTGTTGAGGAGTCAAGACACAACTGCACACAGATGATCAGAAACCTGGATAATGTTATACTAATGAAAACAGTGGGATT